TTCAACGTTGTTTAACTAACAAAAATAACGATTATTACTTTTCATCTAAATTTGAAGAGAAGGGGCTTGATATTTTCACTTATTACATATAAAAGATTCTTTTTTACATGTGTAAAAAATAATGAAACAAATAAGCAACAATAATGGACAGTAAACAAGTAATATTTTTAAGTATTTTAAATATTTTAGACCATATGTCTCGAGTAAAAAAGAATCGCATTTCTTGTACTATGATCCTGTACAAAGTTGTGCAATAAAAAAACCGTGTGAACCTTGAAAAATCTCAACGGGAATGTTTTGAAACTTATGGCAGCTTCAAGCTGATGTTGCTTTTGTAGTTTGGCACCAAACGTTAAAAGTTCTAACATTCGCACTTAACGTGGTCGGTGTAGATACTTTTGCAACCCCGAGGTAAGAGCGTGTTAAAAGTTCCGACTGCCTTACCACTGCCAAGGGAAGTCAATCATCGCTACACCGCTAACATCTATTTCAATAAATGATGCCACATTTTTTCCGTATTTTTTTCAATCTTCAATATAAGTCACACCAGTTAATGCCAATTAATTGTGTTGATTTAACAAATGATTAATTCTATCAATATGTAAAAGATATTAGTAGACTATCCTTTGATTTAAAGAACGCGTTTAACAAATCGAACAAACTTAATAATGCGTTACGTATACAAATAAATTTCAGATCACTCAAGAAATGTTTCTTATCCCTATTTAGAATTAAAATTGGTTGTCATATTCAAATAATAAATTCGTTAACACGACGAAAATGTAATCACATTTAAATCAATGTAATTTTTTTATGAAAAGAAGCGAACACTTGTCACCGACGATAGATATACAAACTCATGCATATATATCTGTATATATATCAGAATAGGTAGGTTTCAACTCTACTACTTTACTAGCGTAAAACAAACCTCGTGAAATTGCGAAACCAAGCAGCTCCGTGTCATCTTTGAAACTGACTGCCTAGTACGTGCGACGAAAATTCATGCAGAGCGAGTATAACTATAGTCGTCGCATCTCTGGCGAACAAGCTAGCAAGGGGAATTCAGGTAGATAGCAGGATGAAACTTCCGGTCAGAAGTTACACCCGTCGCCGGAACTTCACGGAAACTTACTCTCACCTTGAGAAACAGAGAGAAAGAGAGAGAGAGAGAGAGAGAGAGAGAGAGAGAGAGAGAAAGAGGGAGAGAGGGAGAGAAAGAGAGAGAGAGAAAGAGGGAGAAAGAGAAATTGAGAGGGAGGGCAAAGTGTAAGAAAGGGAGATTACTGCTCGAGCAACGAAGTGTTCGCGGTTCGATAAATAGTCTACCATTAATACAGTTGCTAGATAAATTTGTGCCGGCTTTACCTGCAGCGATAAGCTGCATAATTTAATACAATAAATACTCAATGGCTCGTATTTGCATTTCAGTAATTTTTTAATTTTCTTTCCGAAAAACACATCGACATCTCTATTTTTATGATGTTTAAAATTACTTTAAGAATTATCTTTGCACGGTTTCTTTATCAGTTTTATCATTTAATATTAATCTTTCTCAGTATGCTTTGAGAAACGAAACTTATGCTTAAAACTATATATTACACACAACTTTCTACACGTATATAATTTTAAAGATATTAACTTAGATATTAATACTCTCTTTCACCCTACAACGTTATTAAATTTTACGACATGGAACTTTTAATCATATGTTAATCTTCTGATATTATATTTATAATGTGTATATATATAATGTAGAAATATATATAATGTAGAAATTACAGTTTATAAATTATATTTAATCGGTAGACTAATATGCAATTTTAAACGTCTTGACATACTCGTTCTTATGCAACTTCTAAATTGTTATTATAAAAATATAGTTCTTACTACAAAATAAATAAATAAATAAAGCATAAACAGAAGTTGCAAATGTCACAATATCTTATACTTAAGAAACCATTCCGGATTTGCTTAATTGAGTTCTTTATGTGATAAATTTAATTTGTATAAATACATTATACATATTGTAGTAGTTGATATTAATTGACTTGCTTTTTACTTATTACAGACACTTTTTCGAAATGGCAAATATATATATATATATCACTTCAAAAAAATGTCTGTAATAAGTAAAGAAAGTCAATTAATATCAATTCCTACAATATACCTTTATAATGTACTTATATAGATTAAACTTATCATACGAAGAATCAATTAAATAAGTCTGGAATGGTTTCTTAAGTATGCAATATTGTGAACTCGCAACTTATGCTTTCATCTAGCTTTATAAATTGTATATGCGAGTTTCCTAAGTTAGCATTCTAATAATTTCTCATACTACGATATCTTTGTGTATCTTGAAAATTCTCGTTGCAGTAGTAGAAAATAACCGTACACATCCAGAGGCTAATTACGAAAAAGGCGAACGACTCAATAATATTTAAACCAGATAATAAAATGCATAAAAACCAGCAACTTGAATATATTTTTGTTCAATATTCTAATATTTTCTATCGTTTAACAATTGCGTGAAAAATCTTTATATATTAATAAATATTTGTTGATATTTTAAATGCATATTGATATTATAATGTATTTAATCTCAAATTTTGTATCATTCTAATTTCTTTAAAAGAAGGAAAAATTATACAATTTGCAATTTGCAGCTAATTTTAATATAATATATAATTTAAAAATACATTTAACATTCAGTAATATAGCTATTATTAATATATCATTCTTGCATTTTTTTATTAAAGCGTATGTATTTTCTATATATTATAAATATTAATCAATTATATATATATATATATATATATATATATTTATTTATTTATTTTAAATAAGGTATATCATAATAAATAATTTAAAAAATTATCATATATAAAAATAATTTAAAAAAAATTAAATATTTATAAAAAATTATATATATATATATATATATATATATATATATATACACATATGCACTATTAATTTCGTATTCATATAACAAAAAACATAAAATCTTCATAAACAAGCCGTATGATATAAGTAGTAGACTAATAAGCAAGCAATGAAGCAAGTTCTTCGGCAAACTTTAATCTCTTCTAGTGTACTTTGTAACTCCTCGTCTCATTGATGAAACATTAAAGTTTCAATGCTTGCTACCGGAGATACTTTCCAGAGTTCCTATTGTTTGTTTAGATAGTATACTTTGCGCTCATTTCTACCTCTATCACGAATAATGTCAATAAACTCGTACGATCTAAAATCATTCTCATGTTCTCTCATCACGGTAACATTTCAATTATCTTATGTTTTAATTGCGTAAACATTTTTTTATTGGTAATAAATCCACAACCAATTACATAATTATAATTTCACATAATTAATAACTCCTAATAAAATTTAAGCATTTTAATTAATGTATAATGTCCATAATTTTTTTCAATTATTTTTTTTTCTTACTTAATTTAGTGGTAATATATATATATATATATATATATATATATATATATATATATATAATATATATAGGGAGATGAGTTGAAATTCTGTGTAAATTGCAGTTAAGATTGATTACACCTTCTCCATAGTATACATAATTCTATAAGCTTACCTATTTATTTATCGCTCTCAGCATCTCATCTCGTGAAGTAAGGCAACTAAAAGTGCTAAGTCACAATTAACAACATAATGAAAGTGCATAATTTTTAATAACAATATCTATTAAATATAAGGCGTTTCTAGAACAATCCAAAGTTATTTTAGAAGGGAAAATTGATATATGCATATAATATATATATAGTGTGTATATATATATGCATTTGTAAACACTTATACACTAAATAATTAATAAATGTATAATTCTCTGTTAACATTGGTGGCATTTATTTCATAAAATTGAGGCATTAGTGATTAATCACAATACAATCATTTATAATTTCATTCAATATATGATATAAATATCACAAGAGATTAGTTTATCGATATACGCGCATTATTCGATATTTCGCGTTTAATATATATTATTCATTTATGATTAAATATATCGACTCTGATTGATTATAATAACATCATCAAAAATACGTTACACACAATCAAAAGTGAATCACCTTAACTTCCAAAACTTTTCTTGCAACAACGGTCGCATATCACACTTTTGGCAAGTAAGAAAAGATTGACTTATTGAACACCTTGTGCGTATGATAATAGTGATAGAAAAGGTCAGTATTATTGTAGAGTAATAAAAGGTATTCTTAGTTTTAAATGACGTTTAAATTCGATGAACGTCATCACATGAGAACAAGCAACATTGGAAGACACGACAGTGGTATAAAAAGAATTTTACAGGACAGGGTAAACGCGTTAGAAGTCTCGAAAAAACAATGTCCGTAAAAGACAAGATTCAACGTTATTGTATAAATATAGTCGAGAATTCATTGGCAGGTTTGTTGAATTCAAGGAATGCTTTCGTTTGATAATAAGCAATGATGGAAGACATTTAGTATATATAGAATAACAAGAAATCTTCAATGTTCATATATATGATGTTCTGTTAGAAATATGCTGAATAGCTATTTTGTAGAAATATAATTATCGCAAAACTTCCTAACATGTTCATTGCATCGCCATTATTAAAACATATATGTATAAATATATACAAAATATATCATAATTTTGGCAAAAAAATCAAATTAAAAAATATTGTTGGTGGATATGCATTTTTTTCATTGCAGAAAAGATATGTGTCAAAAACAGTGTCCATAAAAATGAAAAATTTCTATAACTAGAAGATTCTTAAAATATCAAATTCGAGACAAGTCAAAACTAACATTATTTGCACCTAAAATATGTTCTGGACCCAAAAAATTTGTTCTAGATGCTATTAAAAAATCAATAACTAATTTTGCACAATATTCAATATACAAAAAAGCAAAAAATGGAAAATAATACAATATATAACAGAGAAATAAAAAATAATACGTAACAGAATATATAATATGTGACAGAAAAATAATGAATTATATTTTATTAGCACATTTGCTTATTCATAATGAGATTCACATAATACTGAGATATCTATTATTGTCAATCAATATATTATCAATTACACAATATTGTCAATAAGTTTTTTCTAACTCATTTAATTCTCAATTCGGTCGATTTCTTTACCAATTTTCACAATTTTCCAAATTTATATCAATTGAAATTTTTGTTTTGTAAAAATGTAGCATATGTAAAAATAATTAATGTAAAATTATTTTCAAATGACTCGCAACGAACATGTTAACTGAAAAAGTGTATGATAAAATTTACATTTGTTCCGCAAATGTAAAGTGCCAGTTTCATAATATGCTCTTTTCTTTGATTTTGGCATAGTAGTTTGGATAACTACATATACCGGCACTGTCAGCAATAGCAGGAACTACTGGGCGGTGGAGTATCGCGCTCGTGGCATCTTAAAACTTTTTGATGCGGTAATAACGACTTGTCCACTGTAGCCTCCATCCTGCGCATTACGCGGTCTAATAATATTTCCACTGCGCGCTCGACATTCTGGCCGGTCGCGGCACTCGTCTCCAGATAAACCAAGCTGAAAAAGAGAATATTTTCACTTGAATAAATATATATAAAAAATATTATACGATATACATATAACAAAACTTGAAGAAAATGTATCTATAATTTTTTTTTAAATATTACATGCGTTTTAGTATTTCTAATTTGACTTACCCGTGCCTTTCAGCAAGATCTCGCGCTTTATGCTCGCTGATGACGCGTTTGTCTTCAAGATCGGATTTATTGCCACAAAGAATTATGTCTGGATCATCACAATATGCATGGGTCTGCGCGCATTTATACATATAAAAATATTATATTAGCTCAATAAATGTAAAAATCTTTTACAAGATTTACGAGCGCACTGGGTTACAACAAAATTTCATGCAAACTAAATTTACAATTGCATTATCCAATTTTGAAATTCAGGTATACATACATAACATTTCAGGTTAATGTTAAAACGCGAATTTCTTCATCCAATAATTGAATTTCTTAGTCATTAATGTTATTTTGTTTCATCTACCAAATATTTACCAATTTTTAAAACAAACAATAGCTTAAACAATTGCAAATAATTAATATGTAATTAGTATAAGTTGAAAAATTTGCAGATGCTTAAGCTAATAATACATGAACAAAATACACTTCTTTTGCAAAAATTTTTAAATGTATTTAATTGAATTTCCCAATTTATGATCATATTAATGTAATATTTACATAGTTTTATATATTTTTGTATTTATATCTATCTTTATATTAAATATGTTAATTGATGTAAATAAATGCAAGATAGTGCTATTTAGCTTCCTAATTATGTATATTGAATTTTGCCAATTCTTTTAAATTTTAGCAAGTATTTTACTCAAATAAATAAATATTTGCTTTTTTAAATAGTTAAAATAGATTGTATCAATATATTTCTCTAAATTTAGAGTCATATTAATACTCTGTAATAAATCACTCTCTCACCAATCATCTACATGCTTCATTTTGTTTCCAAAATCATATATCAAACAATATAAATTAAAGTAACTGTATTCAGGCACTAATCAATATAAATATTAAAATATTATGCACAACAATCTCTAAAAAAGAGGGGAAATCAATTCAAACAAAAGAAAAGGATGGAAAGAATTGTTTAGCTAAGCCAAACCTTCCAATCTTGTATAATATTTACAATAACAAATGATGAATACCCTAAGCTGCTCCAGCCAGTTTCTAACTTCAAGAAACGACAACTCATTGGTCAGGTCAAAAATTAGTAGAAAACCCATGGAATCCCGGTAAAAGGCTGTGGTTAGACTTCTGAACCTGGATATTAACAATGTTAAGCTACTGGTGTGGAATATTAGATTGGAAGTATTAAGTCTTTGTTTGCATACATGCAGAATGTATCATACATATTAATTAGAATACCAATAATGCTTATGTTAAATATATATATTATATATTTCATAAGAGTATTTGCATCTCTCAGATCTCTGCAACATGCGCTTTGGCATATGCAAGCTTTGCGATAATGTAATTAAATTATCATTTGATTACTAATGCAAAATATAATTGCAGCATATCATACGTTTTTATATTATTTCTATCATAAATAATTGAATAATCATAAATATGACATAAATGCACAAGTGTCATATTTGCTAATATAATGCCAATTTCCCAAAGTGCAACAAATATGTATCTACTAGATTAGCGATCAATATCAAATTCTATTAAAAACTACAAGTTCCAATTACAAACTTATCTTTACGCACTTACCGTTCCTGGCCAGCTGTGTCCCAAAGCTGTAAATGTACTCGCTGACTTCTGCCATTCGCTGTTTGATATATCTGTAACATAAATAGTATTATTACAAAATATCAGCATATAAAATACGCAATTTTTATTTATCATTGCTGTACCTGATGTACATATAACATATGTGTAATGTTTACTTAATGTCTACTTAACATTTACACTTAATTTAACAGCATTAATCACTCAAAGTCTGTTATCGCATGTGTTGTTTTTAATATGAAAATAGCTTATTTAAATGTAATGTACATACAAATTTTATATAATTTTATCACATATATTTATACATACATACATATATATATATATATATATATATATATATATATATATATATATAAACATTTTCTCACCACTCGTTTTTCCTTGAAATCAATCCCAACAGTAGAGACGAATCGAGAGTTGAAAGTACCATCGGTATATTGATAAAGGAAGCTTGTTTTCCCGACACCAGAGTTTCCGAGTGCCAGGAACTTTACCAAATAATCATAATTCATCTCGGTAAGAATCTCGTGAATCCTCCAAAGAAGAAACTTGATCCGATGCTTGCCGGTGCTGTCGCGAAGAGAAATGAACAATTTTATTCTAGCAGAGCGAATAAATTATCGTGCCCGATACTCCGTTTCTCGTCGTCGCGAATAGCCGTGTCATCAACTGTCAAACGCGTGCGGCATTTGACGTTGGACACCTGTTGCCTACGTGTACCACTTTCAAAAGATCCGCCCTGCTAAACGCACCGCTAGATCACAATCGATGAAACTGTTCGATCATCATTTGACAATCGCATTCCGCAAACGTAATCGATTTAAAGCTCGGGTATTCGCGGCGAATTCGACGTGTATGTCGCGTGTATCAAGTCGACGCAGCCCGTAACAAATCGCGATGAAAAATAGCGCAAAAAATGGCGTCTACAATTGCAGGGCTACCACAAGCGTCGCGATGAAAATTCGAAATCGCGCGATAAACGAAGGACGCGGGGAAAAAATAAATACCCATCTTTCTCAAATGAAATATTTCTTTTCTTCGATATAGTCAAAGAAATATTTCAAATATTTTCTCTGCGAATAAGATGCTGTTTTTATCATAGATGTATAAAATACATAACCTGTTCTGTGACGAATGAAGGATTTATGATAAGAGGAAAGAAGAGGGTAGTATCTTATGCTACAAAATTATAGGATCTAGCATGGATCACAATAAAAAATTATGCACATGTTACGCATTGAACGTCATTGGACATTGGCTTCGTAATTGATGTCCACGTTTTAATATTTATAGATGGCGTATCGCTTCCTCCCCTTGTTTATAGCAGCGGTTAATGCTCCCGTCTATGTATTTTATATGTTATGATTTTTAGTGCTCACAAATAAATTAATCAAACGAAAAGATAGTTAATATGCGTATGATTAAGAGTACGATTTTATATGACATAAAATAAAGTAAGATGACAGAAGAAACGGACATAAAAGTTGACGTTGAATATTGGTAAGTGTATTATTATCTGGCAAGATTTTCTATTGATCTAGGTTAGATTATGAAATAAACACGAATTTAAATTTTCTCTCTGCTATAGGTGCACGATTTCAAATCTATTATACATATATAAGTATTTTCCATAAAAAATTATCTTTATTTTCTAATTTTTGCAGATAATATATTGTTAATGGCACAATTCGTACGGATACATTTATATTTGTAAATATTATATAAAAACACATTATATTATATAATTAAAAAATTACTATAATTTTGCAGTGGCTCATGTGGACATAAAAGACAATTTCTTCAGCTAGCAGATGAAATTAAAAAAAATGTCCCCAATGCCACTGTGGCCGGTGCAGCAGGAAGGCAAGGCAAGTTTATAAATATAATACATCGATATAAACTATTAAAATTCTTCTAATATTACTTTTTGTTACTCTGTAGCATCTTTTGAAGTGCAAGTCAATGATGAGCTAGTATATTCAAAGCTTCAAACGCTAGCCTTTCCTGATTTTGCTGCAGTAGCAGATATGATCAAAGATGTATCTATAGGTAAACCAGTGAGAAAAATTGACCAACAACAGGCTGTAGAATGTGTATTATCATGAATACATTTGTAATAAGTATACACTGCAAATATTTTTATCACAAATTTGATATATAAAATAAGTTTATTTTACAATATTTTATATACAAAACTTAATTATTTATTATAAATAATTTACTGAATACTGTTTGATAGAACACATTTAAAGATTCTTCTTGTTGCATTTCAATGTGTGTATAAAGTTTAAATATATAGTTAATCATTTAGAAATTACTTCATATAATTCATTTCGTATAATATATTTAGGAATACCAAATTTGATCACCAATTTTAAGCACATCTTGTGTATTTTCCAATCGGGTTAAATAAATCCCAAATCTCAGCTTTCCATGGAATTTTTCCGCTAATGTTCTTAATGGCTCAATAGTTTTTTTTCCAGTTGTTTGATCGATGCATATCATTTGACATCTTGTACAAGGACCATTTACCTATAATAATTAAATCTATAGCAACATATCTGTGTTATTAAAAACTTGATCAATTCATACTTTAAAATTATTATTTCCTATACGAATATATTCCCATTGCAGTTCATCAAAAGCATTGCAGCCTTTTACAATAATGTTTCCTCGAAATCTATGTATACTTGTATCTTTTTTGAAATCTGTATCATCAGATATCTTATCAATAAGCCATGACACACTTGCTTCATTTATTACCAAATATTGTGCTTGATTAGAAAATGATAGGTCTGCCTTGTTTAATCCTGCAAAAAAAATACTAAGTTCAATTAATACAAATAACACACATTTATATTTTTATTGTACCTTTTTTTTGTTTCTCATGATTTTGTCGAATTAATCTAAGATTTGGTTTGCCCAATGCTAAGCTTAACCACTCAGAAACTTCTGATCCACAATCAATGCCTTGTACTTTACTCTCGCATACTCTACTTTGACATATTGGATGTTCTTTTGACTTTTCATAAATATTTTCTAAAGATATTTGAATTGTTGGCATTCCTTAAAATGTTTTATTATGATTTACACTAAAGTAATGATACATTAAATTATACTACAAAATGTCAAATGTCACATGCAAAAATTAAACATTACCTGGATATGTTAATTTCATAATTCCTTGTTTTTTGAAAATAATAGGTTTAAGCAAACATAAATTCACATGATGCTTCTGTGTTAAGCAAGTTCCGGATGATGTTATTATCATCCATTCTCTATCATATTCTAGACCTTTTGCATTCAGATTCCATGAATCTATTATTTCGTATGCTCCACATGATTTGATAGGATATATAAATAACTGTTGCAAGATACATTTATTTACTTGTGTAATTATTTTATCAGAATTTATAATACAATTGCTTCCATTTTTACTATAATTATTTCGCAGATTATTATTTGCATTATTTTTCTCGGTATTTGTAATATTTGGAATTGGATAATCTGAGATATTAGAATTTAAAAAATGCTTGTATTTTTGATTAATTCTGATTTTATAATCTTCCCACCATTGTGGAAATTTTCTGATACATGGTTTGTCAATGAAACATTTTGTGATCATAAGTAAGACTGTCTGAACATCTTTAATCGTGGACATATATCCAAAAGAGATTCTTACTGCTCCAGTCGGTTTTCCATTTATTAAATCTGCAGTGCCACCGCATGTATATCCTGCTTCATAGTTTTGAAGAATTGCCTTAGTAGAAAGAGATAAATGTCTCTGACATGCACCAGGATTACAAAAACAGCCTGTTCTAAGGTGAATTTTGAATAATGCTGCCATATTTACAACTTCCATATATCCTACATATTCACCATTGGATCGGATGAGATTAAATGTAACGATACCTCCTTGGGTGCTGCGATTTTCATAATCAGAATCAGAGTATAGTTTTACAACTGGTTTACCATTACAATGATGTAATGTTAATAAGGAATGATGCAAAGTTTGGGCAAGAGAAAAAACATGCCTTGATATTTGATCCATGGTAAGTTTTGAAAGTATTTCAAAACCATATTGTAAGGATGCAATGGATAAAAACGATACGGTTCCATCTTCGAATCTATAAAAATTAAGACATTTTAAAATATTCTAATTTATCTATAAGCAAATGCGATTCTTATTTACCTTTGATGTAATACTTGACGTTTTTTGTGAAACATTTCAGAACTGAGAGCAACGTCCACGGTCCCGCCCCCGTAATAAATCTTGTCCAAAATATCGGAATTGGAATTCTTAACTAGCAAGGCGCCAATGCCAGTGGGATAGCCAAACATTTTATAAAAAGATACGCATACAAAGTCTGGTTTGAAAATAGATAAATCCAAATTATTCGTTGGAACGAAGCCAGCCGCATCGAGTAGAACATACCATCTAGTCGATGGTTCACTAACAACAATGGAAAGCGCTCCGGTATGCGCATCTCCGATCCATTCAAGGGGATATTTCATTCCAGAAAAATTACATTGTGCAGAATACACAAAAAGAGAATTACTGTTCTGTCTTTCATCAGGATTGGGAGAGATTGCATGCTGGCTGAAAATATGAAACGCTCGATTATGATCGAGACAAATGACCTCGGCACCTCTAGCAGCAACTACATCTCTCATTCCGAGAACTGACGTATGGTTGTCTTGGACGTAAACAAAATTTCCTGCATGCCGATTTGTCTCATTATTTTCATTCGCCTTGAAACGGAATCCTTCCGCAATTATCTTTAGACTCGCTGTGGCGCCCGAGGTGAAAATAACACTGTATTCATCAGGAGTTGTATTAAAATGGCTCAAAATCCTAAGTAATAATTTAAATTAATTTGTTATCACCCCCGGTTTTTTTATTATTATATGATGTCTCACCGATATCTCATACGCTCGATAATATCTTGTGTCATAGAACTCCCGATACCGATAGAATGTGGATTAGCATAAAGAGAGCCATGCAGATCGGCGCCGACCTTCCTGATCTGTGTATCCGAGTATAAAGTTGCGCCCGCGTGATCCACGTAACATTCATCTGTAATAAAAAAGATGTAAATAAGATAACAGCGACAATTGTGTAATATTATTCATATTTAATCTATTTCCTTCACATTCAATTAAATATATATGCGAATATTTAAAAAATACAATGTTTTATTGAATAATCTTATTATAGTAATAACAATATTATTAAAATATTGTTAAAATTTTATTAAAGCAAAGAGAATTAATATTAAAAAATTGCAAAATTAGCTATAAAAATCGGTGGAAAGAATATTTATATTTGATAATTTTGAAACATTCTGCAGTTAATAAAATCTATTATGGAATCTAATACTATTAAAGCAGTATCATTATTTGAGTCCTTGTAATCACGTTATTATAGCAGAGTTAAATCTATTACATATCATGCGAAAAACAAGCGGGAAGATTAGATATATTCCTTTGTAAGAAATTATTAATGCAATAACTTGTAAAATAATAAGCAGAATTTATCAATATATATGCGTGTGTGATACACTCTTAATTACCTTTAAGTCTTGCAAATTCATTTTGCAGGAATTTCGTAGTGATATCGTCGTATACCGGCGTAAATTCCAATGTCTCTATCATGATAAATCCTTATATTAAATCTTATTATACACCAGTGCACTAACAGTACACTATAGTGGATACACCAACTTCTAGAGTTTTATTATCACACACTGAAGGAAGTTGTGGAAATAGACAATTACTCAATCGAGTTCACCCACTATTCAGTTTTCCAGAAAAAGTGGGAGAATCGATATAATCGCGTGACAGCTACTTACACAACAGCAATAACTTATGACATTACTGACAATGCATCATAGTGAATAAAGATATGAATTAAGAAGATCCACGCGGGATAAAAAAGCAAATGTCATTATCAAATGACACGATATATAATATGATATAGAAGAATCTTATATATATATATATATATATATATATATATATATATATATATATATTCTTTTATTGCCGAAAGTCTCGTATTATTATATATGCAAAATCATTGCACATTAGAAAGATAAATGATAAAAATTTATAAAGAAATTTTAACATTTCATGTTATTGCAACTTGTTGCATATCAATATAGATCGTTGCGAAATTACTTACTATGTATAAATATTTTAACATATTTAAATATTTTCAATTTATTATATTCAGACATTAATATAATTTAATATAATAATTAATATTATTGCAGTATAATTGCAATAAAATATTAGCTGGAAATGCTCATCAATTGATTAGGACTTGACATATGTTATTATAAATTTTACAAAATCACAATGTTTAAATCAGTCTTAAATTTTATCAAAGATTTATTAACATTTGCAGAAATTAATTAAATAGTATATACAGGCATTTCATATGATGAATTATATTGCATGCTGTTATTTAATTGTTGACTCTGGAAATCAAAGAATAACTTATTTAATAATTTTATATATATTTTCAAATACAATTCACAACACATAAGATGCATTACTCACTAACTATCGCGATTATTATTTAAAGTTTCGGTATTCACAAAAGAAAATAAATATATAAACTGTATTATCTTGCTAATACACACTGTATATTTGATGTTTATAGACTGCTGATACATATTTTAAACTGCCTGTTTGCTATATCTTATGCAATTTGTGAAAGTTGCTGAGTAATGTACTTGCGAATAAAACGATATATTATTCCTTATTATAAATATTTCGAAGAGGAACTTACGCGTGACGAGGTGGCCGAGTGGTTAAGGCGTTGGACTGCTAATCCAATGTGCTCTGCACGCGTGGGTTCGAATCCCATCCTCGTCGTTCTTTTTTTTTTGATAATTTTTTGTATAAAATAACATTCTCAATATCGTGAAATTATTATATTTATAATTTCTATCTATAATATAAATTTTATATGACCAAGAAAATCGCAATATTAATATTATTAACTATTTTGAAATGACTATAGAAATGGAAAAATTAAAAGAGTTATATATTTTGTATACAGATTATATATATTAGTTTGTTCATATTTAATTACTTTATATTCGCGATATTTAATATTTTTTAAATTCAAATTAAATCAATCTTCTCATAAAAAATTATCGAAATGATAAATTACTTATGAATTTACGATAAAACCTAGCAAACCAAAATATTGCAACTACATTGCCGCAACATTGTAATATTGCCATAATATTGCTGCAATATTCTGTGTTTGCTGGGAATTATTAACTTTCTGAATGGAAATATTATATAAATTCTTTACATGTACTTTTTTTATTTATGATAAAATAGATAAAATATGAAACATTAATATAACAGATATTAGATTCTTAATTATATAACATTTTTATATATTAATTCTTATGATATTTTTATAAAAAACTAAAAATTATCGGTGTTACATTTATTGATCGTAATATAAAGGGTTTAGGATGTGATATTAGGTCATGGCCAAAAACATGGACGTAATCTTCGCATAAAGCATACTTTTACAAAGGAGAAAATTCAACTTATGTGAAGGGGTACGCCTGTCCGTGACCTAGCACCATCATGCTAAAGCAGTGGTGACCAACTTTATGATAAAGGGCCGCATCGATGCTTTTCAATGAAAATGCGAATTGTATAAACTTTTTATTCGGTTTTTATTAATTATTTATAAATATTTCAATTAAATCTTCAAAGATCCTAATATTTTAGATTTATTTAAAATAATTTTGTTAAAAAAAAGAACTCATTAGAAAGGCGAACAGCAGTTTTGATTATATTATATAAAGTATATAATTTAACAAATATTGAAAAAAAACAAAGATCGAGATATCTCATATTTCAAGATATTTTTATTTAATGTATACAAATCGTGTGCAAGTAATTCATATAATTATAAAACACAGAATACAAAGAAAATTATAATTAATAAAAATTAAATTAATTTGTAAACTGAACATCAAAGCTGTGTGTGTATATGTGTGCCATAATCATTCATTTTTATTGTTCCATTTATCACATTTATTACTGATTTAATCCATTCTGATGTATCTATTATCAGTGATTTTAAAATTGGCGAGACAAGAAACGAATTTATAAACCGGAGAATTGATTGTCACTTTGATTAATCTGTTTTTATTCCTCTAAAGTAATCTCTTAAAAGCTATATATAATAATTACAGTTTAAATGACTTGCATACAGTTCAAATCGTATAAATAACTCGCTATTGAGTTTAATCTTTGAGATTATGAAATTATATATAAAAATCACGCCCACATTTTTTATATCTAATAATGAGAGTAAATGTTACGTATCTCCAACTGTTACATATATGACAACGCTTATGTCAGTGCGAGAATTTGGAGAAAGCGTGTCCTTGACGAGTTCTACAATATCATGCTAAAAATTATCTATATCAATTTATCATATTACATAATAAGACTGGCTAAGATACGAAAATCGCATTGTTTAATTTTCCCTTTTATTATGATGGTCAAATAAGTAAATTTTGAGAACAAATATTTTATAATTGCATATTTGCATATCTGCAATTAATATACGAAAACAAAAACAAGTTTTAATTAAATATAATATAGTTTTAACAAATATTGACAAAAACAAAGCTCGAGATATCTCGTATTCCAAGCAATTTTCTTATATTCATTCTTAAAATATTATGAGTAATTGCGTTTTATTATGAAAATTACGTTACTTGTCAGGAACATTATACTTTTTATTATAAATTTTATATTTGTTTTGTACGAAAGAAAGTGTTATTGATTATAATTAATTACATATGTCTTTATATCTTCAGATGCAAGAAAGATAATTAAATATTCCGCATGTTAAGTAATCGGATGCCAAGAGCGAAACAAGAGTGAAAAGTAATTATTAGCATATAATTGTCGCGTTCTCGATGTTTCCTAATAAGCTACCAGATGCACGATCTTAATTTTTTCAGGACCACGCCCGGAATTCGTCCATGTTCCTTTTCGAACGACTATTCTACCTCCTCTCCTTTGCACCTTCAGATGTTGCTTTCTTAATGATTTCTCGTAAAGAAGTTTCATATACGTTTCCCTCTCCCATTGGCCATGCCCAATCACTTCGAACAAGCTTGTGCCCAAAATTCAATTGAACCCCCTACAATCTCACCCGCATATAAATAGTAGCCAGCAGATACAATTTCGCAGCAGAATCCAGTAGTTATTCAAACAAGCAAAATGGCATTTAAGGTAAGACATATTAACGTTGTCGAGACCTCTTGTACCAGTATTTTTTTGTATCACATACGCATTAATAAATAAAAGAGATTGCAAAGAATGCAAATTTTGAACTATTACAAGTAATAACGTTCTATGCAAACAAGATATTTCTATGCAAACAAAATTTTTTTCAATTAAATCAAAATACTTCCAGTTATAGCTAAAGTATTTGTTTTATATACATCTTGCTATTTATTGAAATTTACATTCCTTGTATTTTAATAAATCAATCAAAAAACTAGATTGCGAATAGGAATAATTTTTAAATATAAAGTCGGTTACCCTAAAACTGAAAATCATCACTTCTGTATTGTCCAAAGCTTCATAAATCTATAAAAATCTAGTACATAAATACATTAATTCATTTATTAGATTTTGAAAATTATCTCAATAATTCTAGATTGTCATATTAATTTGTCAATATATTATATTGATGACAATATTCTTCATCGCAGTTCGTGATACTGGCAGTCTTCGTGGCAGTGGCAAATGCCGGCGGACCGGCGTCTTACGACATCGGCACACTGTCCGGTGATCACAGTAGCATCGGCTACAGCCAGGAGTCCACGCAGAAGGGCTACGCGGGTCAGAACGTGGTGACCTCGTACAGCCGGGCCGAAGATTCCGCGACCTCGTCGGTGCGCGTGAGCAACAGCCACGTGAGCAACGACCTGTTGGAGCAGCACGCCATCGGCTACGCCGCTCCGGTGATCGCCAAGACGTACGCCGCGCCGGCCTTGGCCAAGCCCCTGATCGCCGCACAACCCGTCCTCGCTAAAGCCGCTTACGCGCCAACCCTGGCCGCGTACGCCGCGCATCCTGCTCCATCGGTGATCACCGAGTCCGCTTACGGACATTACGGATACGCCGCGGCCGCACCGATCCTGGCCAAGGCGACCTACGCCGCACCCGCCGCTTATGCCAGCCCGCTCCTGACGAAGACCTATGCCGCCCCGATCGTCGCCAAGACCGCCACGTACGCCGCATACGCGGCACCGGCACCAACCCCCTTGATCGCCAAGGCCTCTTACGCGTACGCACCCGCTGCTGCTCCGCTCATCGCCAAGACCGCCTACGCCGCTGCTCCGATTTTGGCTAAAGGCCCGATTACGTACGCCGCTCATGCCGCCGCACCGGTGTTCACCAAGGCTTATGCTGCCCCTTACTCGTACGAAGCGGCCGCGCCGGTGATCGCCAAGGCTTATGCTTCCCCTTACTCGTACGAAGCGGCCGCGCCCGTGGTGCACGCCACTTTCAGCGGCTTCGGCACTAGTTATGCCTGGTAAACAGATCGGTTATGTTAATAATTAATTCTCGCGAAGCCATGACGACAATTATGAAAATTGTAACTTCTTCTCGCACCGGCAATTATCATATTCCGCCTGAAGCATGTGTAAGATTTTCTACGTATCCCCGATTTTTAAAAAAGCACGATAAATCGATATCAAAGTGTCAAAATCGTCTCGAAAATTTTGAAATTTTTATTATTGTTGCTTCTTACCTGTGATGTTGATTAGCTTTTTCGTTGTGAGCAATTATCATCACATAATTTAATTTCTGAAAATTTACTTTGATGAATATTTGTTATATATAATGTTATATTAATAATTTATATTAATAATGATAAATAAACGTTTGTATGATTTATTGTCACATTATATGTAATTCAATGAATTGATAACTTGGCTTTACATGAGTTTAAGCAAAGTTTTCCGATAATATTTTCTGATCCTGTAAATGTAAACAAATTATAAAAAAATTAGAATCGACATATGTTATATGTTATTTAAAAACATGTTTTTTAGCCTTTCTTAATTTATACTATCCTAATTTACTCTTGCAATACGTATATATCAAAAGAACTTATTAAAAGTCATTTAATCTGTTAAATCGATCTAATCTATTAAAAGTTACTCCAATTTCTAATTTGTTTCAGTCATTTTAAAATAACGGATTTATATACATAATCTACAATTTATGATTTATCTACAAGTCTCTGTAAGTCTATTAAATAAATTAAAATCTCAAAATAAAATTTATTCAGCATCCAAAATCATTAATATTTTAAACAATTTTTGTTATATATCCAAATTTTCCAATTGATACAGTAATAAGCAAATATATAATGGAATAATTAAAAAAAAATAAATTAATTAATAAATTAGTAAATATAATATAAAATAATTTATAAATCCTAAAAAAAACTAATTTTTTCTTTAAAAACATTTTTACAGAATTTATATAAAAGTATTTTTCTCTAATGCTTTCTTTCTTAAATGGCTCAAATAAACGAAAAAATTATAATGCACACAAATTTATATAACAATATAATATACAAATTGATAAATACTCAGGTTTCGTCAACGTCTGACACGTCTCTCCTGGTTCTTCTTTTTCTCTCAGGTTGTCAGAGTCGCATTCTATTTCTTTAATAGAATATATTTCGAAATTTTGTACTAAATTTACATAATAATTGTATTAACATAACTGTGTATGAATAAATATAAACTATAAAATAATTTAAATAATAGAATTTTAACAAAATATGGTATATATGGTCATAATTTCTATTTATCCCCTTTTTAAAATCGACATGTTTTTACCTCTATTTGCACATTTTTGTATCTAGACATAAATATGATTAATTTAGGATTCTCATACATGAGAATAAGATTACGTGCGTACGTATTATAATTGATGAATCACAAACACAAAAGATCAGGATACAATAGCTAATAGAAAATGATGCGTGTTATGTGGATGAATGTGCCACTTAATTTCTAGTTGAATTTCGGAAAAAATTTGCATACAATGGATAATCGAAATGTGCCGATCATGTTACAATGTCGTTGCACGAATCCAGTCATATATACGACAAGCCACTTTCACATATGACCGATTTCCTGTAAATTCGGAGCAGTCGCGATGATGAAATGTAAAATTTTTTATTGAAATAATATTTGTGCTATTTGTGTAATTTATTTAACCAATCTACCTATCCCGCTGCGATATTAAAACATTTTTCATGATTGCAATCTTGAAAAGCTAAGCTCTACAGTCTATTTTCCAGAATATTTTAAAAAGATAAACATATCTTTTGGTCTTCTATTATAATCTGATAAATATATGTATATTCTATCTATTATAATCTAATAAATATATATTCAAATTTTTCTTATCTATCTAATTAATTACACATGTCTTATATTTTTAATTTCGCGCTTGTTTTTGAAAATAGTCTTTGATTAGAATGATTGACATTCGGCACATAAAAAGAAAGAAAAAAAGCTTTATAAACATAGGTCTGAAAATAAGTCGTTTCCAAGTTAAAACCACTTTTATGTTAAAAAAATTATAATTTATAATCCGCTTGGCATCTCTCTTTTTTAATTTTAAATTTAAAAATTTAAATTTAAATTTAAATTTATTTTATTCTATTTTTATTTTTATCTTTAAATTATTATGTCATCGATACTCAATCTATTTACATTATTTTATATACAAATAAAATGTGTGTGTGTATATATATATATATATATATATATATATATATATATATATAAAATAGATTATTTTAAACTAACAATACATATTAATACATAATATCATAAAATTATTAATAACTTTTATTCATATGACCACCACTTATAAGAATTTAACCTAAGATGCTATCGGAAATTCTAAGGCCCGATTTCACCAACCGCGTTTAACTTTAATCTTAGTTCAATTCACTCTTTGTCTCTTTCTAAAGGAAGAGTTAAAAGGAGATAAAGAGTGAGTTAAACTAAATAAGATTAAAGTTAAACGCTGTTGATGAAATCGGGCATAATTGTAGAGTAGAACAGCATCGAATTGATCAATTACATAATTGATAAACAAATCTTTACTTCTTTTGTCTCGATTAATTAATTAAACTCTATTTTACTCCACGGATAAGATTTGTGAACGCACTCATATTTGCATTAGAATGTGATGACACGTGACATGACACTGTCATAAATTTGGCGGGAAAAGTTTAGCTCAGCTGTTCGAATACAACATGTATACATGCGAGAAATATCTTTTATACTTAAAATATAATAAAGTGATAATGGAATTGCGTAAGTTGTTCGTTCATACATAAGATGAGCATGATGGATACGATTTCCACGGAAAAGTTTTACGGCAATAAAATACAGAAGCGCAAATTCAATTCCAACGTTAATTGGGTGAAAACATATCGGGTTATGCCGTCTCATATACTAGGCCCAACGCAATATTGGGAGGAATTTCACAGACAAGTTGATGCTCTGACAGCAGCTGCTGAATGTAGCACTAAACAAGACACACTCTGTATCTTTGCGTATCAACGACCTAGCGATGGTAGTCGCAGATTCGTTGTTGCACATCCCGAAGTCTACTGGTGGTATTACAAGGCAAAACCGCAAGAAGAAAGAAGTTCATACGAGGTGAATACTTGAACACACGTTCATTTCATTTATTTTAATATATGCTAAATCATTAAAACATTTAAAACAGTTCTCTCTTAAATTTAAAGAATAAAAGATAGAGAAGTACACATACACATGTCAAAAAAGATTGTACAAAAAAATGTTATAAATTTTTAACAGGTAATACCAAAAGATTCACCGTGTTGGTTGTATCTGGATTTAGAATATTTGGTCGAATTAAATCCACTATGCAATGGATCACGCATGACCAAGACATTAATAGATATTATACGTGTATATTTACTAACCCACTATCACTTGTTGTGTGATAGAAATAACTTTTTAATACTGGACTCTACATCGAGCACAAAATTCAGCAGACATGTGATTTTCACCATGAAGGATATGGCTTTTAAGGATAATTTACATGTTGGAAAGTTCATCAAAACGATATATAATGATATTATGCTTTATCTAAACTCAGATACACAATCGCATGGAATTTTAAGTCAATTTAATAAAGCAGATATCGAAGAATTACTTGTGGAAACAAATCATGGAAAAAAGTTGTTTGTTGACAATGGCGTTTATACAAAGAATAGACAATTTAGATTATATCTTTCTACCAAATGGGGTAAACAATCGTATTTAACAGTCTCTGCAGATTGCATACATAATCCAGTAAATAAATGCAAAGAAAAGGAATTAGGAGTCTTTTTGGACTCCCTGATATCGTATTTTCCAAACAAGCAAAATTTAATTTTGCTCGAGTTTTTTAATCGAAGTGATGTAAAAACTCAACTTTATTCAAAGATACCAATACAATATAATAACATGGATGATAATCAGATTTCACCATACCCTGAAATAGACGAATATGTTAGCAATCTTGTTGATCCCGGCAAAATACGAATCGCTAAATATTCCGATAAAACCAAAATATTGAGATATGAAATTTATGGTAACAGGTAATAATCAATTATTCTTTTCTATATATATATAGAAGAAATAATGTATTTTCAATAATATATATAATATAAATAATGTATTTTCTATATTATTTTAGATACTGTGAAAACATTGGTAGATGTCATAAAAGCAACAATATATATTGGATTGTGGATTTAAATAAGAAAAAAATGTATCAGAAATGTCATGATGAAGACTGTTCAGGTTTTTTGTCTACACCAAAGAATTTGCCTGAAGAAATTGCTTTCAAGTTTGATATAGAAGGTGATGCTCTTATATCCCATGCAATAATAAATGAAAATATTGCATAATAAAAAAAATTAAAAACTATTACACTTTTTATATATACATATAAATATAATTTATATAAAAACATGTATAAAAATATTTTTTTACTTCTCAATAAATCTCTTTTATAGCATTTTTTTCCTTCAAGAATAAAACCTTTTAACATCTACATAAAAAATGATAAAAAATGATATGTTTTATATTATAGAAATAGAAAACATTAAAAAACAAACGTCAGTTATATTGATATTAATTAATGATATAATTAATGATATATAATTTACACATACAGTTTATTTACATAACGATTATTCTAATGAAAATTATTACAATTGCATTTTTTATGACAATTCCTTATATGTTCCTTATTCTTTACAATATTATATATTGTATATATTTGAAGAATATTTATATATTTTCTTTGTTTTCTTATTCGCAGACATAATATATAAATAACTATATACTTGTACACTCTACATGTATTTACAATTTCTGTGCAAATATATATATATATATATATATATATATATATATATATTATGCATGTGTGTATGTATGTATGTATGTATATACACATATAATATAAAACATTTAAGATATTTTGTATATATAACATATTATGCACAATTTTTACAAAGACAAAATTATTTTTAAAAATAATAATTTTAAAAATATCAAATAATATCTCTTGAGATACAAAAGAATTCAATAATAATGAAAATTTAAAATTAATTATTCAAATTGCAACTTTTTAATACAGTACTTTTTTTTAAATATTGTATTTAAAAAAAAACTCAAATTTTTATTTGTGCAAATTTATACATTTGACACATACATACATATAACTGAAACAATATACAAATATATCTTATTTGTTTTATACTGTTTAGAGAGTTACAATGACTTTATTTTGCTTTGTATAGAAATCTATTTATATATCATATATATATTATCAAATTAAATCACCTCAATTCTCATTACTTTTCCAAAAGCAGATTATCTTCTGTTTATTCTAATTCATTATTGTTTACATATTTAACATGTGATGCAAAGTTTCAATGAATAAATTAAAATTACAATGACGTACTTAATCAGTCTCATTATTTACTTATTATTTGTTGTTTTTATAAAAGGTGAAAATCATTAATTAAATGGAAAATTAATGGGTTGTCATACATTCATAATACTACACAAAAGCATATGCTATTTATTTGATATATATTAATGAAATATTACTTATTCTACGAACTTGCTCTATTTCTTATAGCAATAGTAGATTATTATTCTCTTTGTATTAAAACTTGTATTAAAACATCTACCATTCAAAAGTTACTTCATTAAATCCAATTGTCAAATATCCAAAAATGCAAATAATTTTCCAAGGTAAAAATAATGTAATAAACCTTGTTTTTCTTTGGATGTCGAATTTGTATCCTTATTTTCAGTTTCCATCATATTATTCTGTTGTACATCGTGCGTTACATCCAATTTGTTAGTATTGTTATCAGAATCATCTTGTCGATCTTGGGAATTCCTCATAGACTTTTTACTGTCGTCTAAATTATTTTCTACATTAACTTTAATTTGCTCTTTGGAAACGTCCTCCACAGGTAATGTAAGATGGCTGTTTTCAGACTCAGTTGCATTTTGTTTCATCAATTTGTATTTTTGGTAATCTTTTGAAGCCTGCCTCATGCGAACTAAAAAGTCTGGTAAACCTAAAAAAATATATATACATATAATTATTATCATACATTGAAAAAAGTCTTATCATTTACCTTAATAAAAAGTAAGAAAACAAACCTCTCAATGCTACCCATGCAGTAACAGTAGACGGTACAGCAACACCAGGATCATCAAAATAAGTGAGGCCAAATTCGATGCCTGGTTCATGGAATTCTGTATAAGGCTTTATCACCATGTACGACCAATACGTCTTGACTCTATTACATATTACAAAATTAAAATACAAATTGATTCATTGATATAAAATGTGAAATTAATATTTAATTTTGATAATCTATATACATTAAATCATTCAAATAAATCATTACTACATCATTTAATGAAATACATAAGTAAAGAGCATTGATTAATTTAATTAACAATATTTTATATGTATATCTAATATATATGTTTCTCGAATTTTTTATACACCTGTAAATTCCTCGTCTTTCTGGTACATCAGGATGTTCTGTTACTCGGCTAACAATAATTACAAGTCCCTTCTCTCTATCCACAATCCATCGTCGTTGATATACATAATCTCTGTTAGAAAATAATTTCTACGCAATGCAAATCAATCAATTATTGAATAAGAAGATTTATTCCATTTATTAATGGAAGATGGTAAATTATGCCATACTTACAGGCCAGATCATCTCCCAATGAATAATATCAGTACTATGATTAATGGACAATTCTGATCTTGGATCAGTTTCAATAATCTTTAATTCCTGAGCAGTGGGATCCCATTGTTTTCTATAATCTACATCAATTTGTACTTGTAGAAAATCATCAGCCGTAACATCAGAGAATGAACCATATACTTTGTACGCAAATAATCCTCCAGAATCAGGCTCTTCCTTTCTCCATATTAACATATCTTGACGTTCGATGAAAGGCTGCCAACTACCTGATATTTTATAATTTAAATACCAAATATATATAAAATTACAAAATATAACATCTCAATGTTGAATAATCGATATAAAAACTTACAATCTTGATTAGAGATACAGGAAGATTGAATGTTACATTTACAATATTTCACATTGGGCTGTACAACATCAATGACAAGTCGCAAATGACATTTGGCACAGACTACAGTGGAATCTCGTAATTTATGAATTCCTTCAATCTCACGATTATGTCTGCAAGAAATAAAGTATCATTAGAAAAATATTATTCTAGCAATATTAGACATATGTTTTGTCATTAGCGTAACCGTTTGTCACAATCACCTATTAATTTCTTCATTGCTTATCCTTTCGCGATCCCAATTGTACACGGTTACGCCAGTCGCGCTTATCAAGAAATTCTTAGTGTTTCTGGCGAGTCTCAATCTCCATGATCGCATGAATTCCCTCAACGCCACTTCGTCCCATATTTTCGTGTACAGCTGAAAAATCTGTATGTATCGTCTGATTCGTTGTGCGGCTACAAACTCGAATTGCTTTTTGCAAACGTGGGCCACCTGCGTGCCCTGTTCGCGGAACCATAAACTTATCCTCTTGCGGTAAATGCCAAATTTGCCGCGATTTTGCGTCTTTGGGCCGCAATGCTCCAAAACGATGGCCAATCTGCTACTGCCGTAACTATTATAATTGGTGTTGAATCGTTTGAAAGCACGACCGGTCAACTTCCACGTGTACATCGTACGTTATCGGTGCTGCGTTATATTCTTTCCACACGGAGAGTACGATTAATTAGTCTATTCACTCTCATATATACATACACACATGGAATATTCCACACACAAATAACCGGGAAGTCGCGACGATTCTATACGTAACACCTCGTGTTGGTATCTTGATCTCTCTCTCACGTTATTGATTAGACGCCGCAAGCGAATTACGACGCGTGCATGAAACTCATTTTTCTCTCAATTCGATAGCTATAATCGATCAAGGTCATAATTAAATTAACTATGCTAAGAAATCATCGTCACCGATCGCATACATAATCACCGCGCATAACCAGTCGATTATCAATGGACGAAAAGAAGCTGCGCATGAATGTACGCATGTGGTAGGAGGGGGGAGGATCAATCGCGGTTTTCTAGAATTTGAATTTTCAAAGGCGTGTCGTGTGCGTGTCAATTCCGATTTTTTTTTTTAAAGGAAATAAAAGGGAGAAGTGATGATATAAGGGTGCGTATTTCAATTTTCTAAGCATTTACGTAGCTGACTCTGTACATCTCTAATTTGTATTCATTGATACAAGATGCGAATGATGTCGATCGCAACCGGATCTTTACCATAGTGCGAAAACTAGTCATTCGGTAGGGGCTTTTAGTACTCATTCTGGCCACTAGGGGAAATTTTGACAAGTCGCGTGTGCGCATGCGATCTACATAAATTTTCAAATCAAGTGTATTAACGATACTTCTCTCGAAATGGCACGTTGAGTTTTTTTTAAAAACGAGTCATTACAACAGAGTGATCAGTGTTTGTTAATAATCGTATATATTTACAATTGACATTGCGTATAATTACATAATCGGTCTTATTTCTTTTAACGATGTTGCTGGTGTCTCGCGGAAATAAGTGTAATATTAACGAAAGACGCGCGAAAGACTATATCTGGACTTAACCAAAATATTGTTCCTTATTAAAGGACTCGTATTGTGCACAGGCGAAAATAAAGGTCGGCAGTTATGGTGGGATATACAGGCAAGTTTCGGATATCGTTTTTTTATTAACGTTTTATCAGTTACAATTTTGATTACATACATATAATGTGGATCCTTCTTTAAACACATGGTTGCTATGATACAAATGACGAGGATAAAAATTTGGAGTGCGTAAAAATGTAATTAGATGACAATTTATTTTTGTTTTTATTTTCTTTTTTTTTTCTTTTCTTATTACTTCATTGGTCATGGCGATGGGCCAACACTTTCAATGTATATTAATATAATATACTGAGTTTGGCCCATGTCCACTAAGTGGGTAGGTAGGTAGGTAATATCCTTGATCGCAATTAAATCGTCCCTAATTCGCTAATATTTTACACACTAACAGTGCACAATCGTCGCTCAAGACTGATGTCCGGTATTTAAAGATCTGATCGACCCGCCGATCTCAGGATTGTGTTTCTCACATCGACCACAGCGAGAGGCTTTTCGGAGCTTTCAGTGTACCAAATTCAAAGGACAATAGCAGTTGGTGAGTGATATTATGTTTCTATGAACAATAATGTATCTTTCCTATGCATTGTTTACATTGCTTATCAGATAAACCAAGTAACGTTCAAAGGACGTCTGCAAAAATTCTTATCTTTCAGATTCTTATGTAGTTCAAAAAATCACAATTATATAATTATTTCTAATTCATGCTTAAATGTTCCCTTCTCTTTAGCTTTAAATAATAAAAAAAGAAAATTTTATTGTTGTAGTAAACTTAACTACAGTGCGATTCTTTTAACAAAAATTAACGATAATCTTATCAATAATCTTGATTGAAGAGAATAATTGCATCGAAAGAATTACTCGACAAAAATATCGCCCTATCAAAAAAGCTCAGTTTGATATAGAATCGCGGTTTTTTCGCATAGGATTCAACGATTCGAGTTATAATTGGACGTACACGAGGACGAGACGAAGCTTCAAAAAAATCGACAGACGAAAAGACGACAATGAAAAAGAGTCCTCTGAACTTGGAACAACGATGTATTGCCTTCACTTGTGTTCGTCGTGCAGCGACGAATGGCACGCGTTTTTCTTTCCCTCCTTAGCATTATATACAGGACTGACCATTTATCAACAATTATTTGGAATATCATCCTTTAAGGTAAACAGCATCGGATGGGGACAACAGGGTAAGATGCTAATCGGTCTAGGATCGCGGTTACGTAATATTCGACATTCCGCATCGCTTCCGTAATACTAATCAGCTTCTCCTGAGATTCGGTCGGTGATATGCAATTTGATTCCAAGATAATTGTAAAGTTCTGCGTAGATCACGGCGTAATAATCATGAGATTTTGGTGTTTCGAGTCATAAATTATATCTATATATTGATGATATCGAGAAACAATTTTCCCAAATGTATAACACGCGGCTTAAACAAACGATTAATTAAAAACTTGGCAAAAGACTTTCTTTTATCGAGATAAATAAGATTTGAATATATTGCACACTTCTCGATTTCCATATTCTCTTTCTTCCTTTCTCTATTAACAGAAATTCAAAGCAAAAAGATCTGTTGAAAGATCTTGGTATATCCAATAAAGATAATTAATATATTAGAGGGTACACGAGTCTAAATATTTCGTGCAAAATTGTTGTATCACTACATAAACTTTTGTATCACTAAATGAGGAACTTTGCAAAAATCAATCCTACGATTTAAAGAATAGCTCGATCAAGTCAACGAGAAGGGAGTGATCGCGATAACGATCGCAGCGATCATTCTATTATTCAATCCAAAAATCCAAGTAACGCTTTCGAATACGATCACACTCTTTCTCTCCCTGAGCCAAAATATATTCGAGATCCTTCCGACTTAGAATCGAACCATCATGCGACGAAGAATCTCGTACGCAAAATTAGCAGCATTGTATATGATTCGACCGATCATGCTTTCAGACGTTAATCTTGTCAGAAAGGATGTGTTTTGCTTTGGTAGGAAAATAAATAATTCCATTAAAAAATCCTTAGATTCAACATATTTAAATAATTTTGTAATCTTTTCTAATTTTCTTTTTTCTATGCGATGAAATACCAATTGTTATCATGTAGATTAATCAAACAAAATGTACTAATGTTTGAACGAATAAGTCAATTGAATGAACACGATATTCTATTCACGGATGCTAGCTGAACAATTCGTTTATTAACAGTCTATTAAATATTAATCATGAATTATCGCGGCAAATGTCATTCGTACTAAATCTTGTTGATGAATAGAAATTAAGCTAATCGAACGCTTGCTGTTTATCAGTCGATTGCTTCGTGAATCACACACGATTTGCACAATCGCGAAAGATTTAATTAAAGGTCATCATTTTAAAACGTTTAATAATGCAGTTTACAGCAAGAATTCGGCACAAATTTATTCAATTTCTTTGTTATAATATCTCATTAACTTTAAAATAAAAGTTTCAATCATTAGATAAAATCTTTAAAATTAGACTTCATTAGATGCTGATCAATTTTACAATAATATCAAATTTAATTAAAATAATTTCATTCAAAAAATTAAAATAAATTCTAAATATATGATATTTTTAATTTGACCATTTCTATTCACTTATAGAGAATGATTTTTGGTTTAAGCATTTCTATTCACTTGAGAATCAATGATTTTCGTTGATATAAAATTTGCAAAATTACTCTGCAATTCTAAATCAGTCTCTGGAAAAAGAAGATACTTGTTTAAAATTAAAGAGCAATAATTGTATAGTTCGAAAATTTTAGAATCTAAAATTCTAACATACAAAATGTTAAAACTCTTACTCGTGATACAAGTAAATCATATTCGTTGATATATCAAAGCTGCATTGCAGTATGCAGCGTGCGAATCAAACATGATCTCAGCCGAATCAGGTAAAAACAGAAGATTCACTAACGAATTGCACTAGTCTTTTAGTTGCTCGCGAGAGCGTCGAGCATCGCGCAACAAAGACAGTAATTAACGCTAGATCGCATTAAGTAATTAAGAAATTATACGCGCCATGTTAACGACTATTCGTAATAAATTTTGCGTTGTCTTTTACGTTCGTCGTGTTTTTGCACATTTCGCGTAACTTCAAAGGCAAGCATTTAAATTTTATCCCGGCAATCTCTTCTGATTGCCATATAGCGAAATATTCGACATTTATATACTCTTTCTCGTATGAAAAAATATACGCAATTCCGCGTTTTTTATTCGAAAAAATAGGAAAGAAAGAAAAGAATGAAATGCGTTTGAAATGAAAAGCCGCTTTCTCGCAGATTAATGCACGACCCTAAGTCATCCGCCTTGTGTGCGACCTGTCACTCTATTATGATCGATACTTTCACTGAGCCCGCCGAGCCCGTTGTCCCTCCGCTTTCCTCTTGCGCATAATTAAAAAAACTTGACTCGTACAAGTATGACCCTATATGGCGATGAACAATCATAAGGAGCATCGCTCGAGACGTCCCATAGCGCGACAACTCGTTGAAGAACCATTGTTTGAAATTAAAATAGCTTCTGAATAAAGATGCGGCCGAGAGTTTGCGCGTCTCGTCTCGCATCTCGTGGCTATTCTCAACACTGTTTCAAAGTGCATCGCCGACTATTCGAACGGAACACAGATGAGATTTACCTCTGGATAAACATTTAAAACAATATGCTCTCCAGAGAGAGAGAGAGAAAGAGAGAGAATTTAACGTAAATGATATATATATTTTTGAAAAAATATCTAACGCAATAACGCACGACGATATCCAACAATGATGTTTGTTAAATCTTTATCAATCTGTCATCAACTATGGACTGATTCTACTGGTTAATTCGACTGGAACGATTCTTCATTCCCTTCTATGAGATTCAAGCTAGAAAGAGGCGAAGAATCGATAAAAATACCGCGGTTAAAAGTTAATCATCATCGACCTGTAAATGTTCGACTTTATGACATTGCGCTTGCCTGCGAATGTGTGACTAGTGCGATACCGCGGAATGTCGAGATCTTGTTTGCTCGCAGCGAAGCGTTGCGTGAACCGCGCGGATACGGATCGGACTACTATAACGAAGATCACAGTCCTTTCCTTATACGGAGGGCAAATCGTGCCGCTCGAGGTCTGGGCGATGCACTTTCTCCCGGCAAGGATCTCAAGTATACCGTATAGTATCGTTTCGCCTCCGCGCGATTTTGCCGCGTACTTTGTGTAATGTATTTTATTTTCGACTACGTCGCGCGGATGCAATTTGCTGCTACTTTCGAGTTTCGGCCTAGGGATGCCCGTGGGGCATTGTAATTTCGGCTTTCGTGCGTGTTTCGCTAACAATTAAAAATTTGTTCGCCTATTACTTATCATTTCGTGTATTTTTTGTCGTTTAAATTCAATTCACATTATTAGGGTATAATAATTAATTAATTAATTAATTAATTATAATAGTGTCATTATAATTCGTAATAATATACAACATTTGTCAATAGATCATTTATGCTAAAACCCACCGCATGCTCGTGTCGAAATCATTCGTACATTCTCTCGCGTATTCTCCCGCACATGCATACATACACACGCGCTCCTGATACACGTGCGTTTTCTCTCTTTCTCTCTCTCTCGCTCTCTCGCTCTGCGATTTCGCTTAGCTTTCTCTCATTCTCTCTCTCTTTATATGCACAAGTATATTTTACGAAATACACCCTTCTCCTACTTTCGCACTCTCACACCGTGGGACTGTACTGGCTTCACGCGTGGCTTATCTAACTAATTCATGATTCTTTTTGTGTGTGATTTTGGAGCAAATGTATATGTATGAAATTGTGTATATACGTGTAATATGTGCGTGTCCTTTCTCGTTACATGCGATTCGTTTTTCGCTCTTGGTACCTTCTACGTATAAGCTACATTCGCTTTTATCTGTGTGTTTGTGTGTGTATGCATGTGTGTGACCCACTTTATTTCAATCTAAAAAAAAAGAAATTGATAAAAGAAGAAGATACAAGCTCAATGTGTGACAATATACGCATCCGCATTCAAAAACCGGCAAAATAATGAGAACACAATGGCGATCTCTCGAAAAGGAAGAAAAATTATAAAAATGATACTCGTGTGATGCACACGAATGTCTGATGATCATCTTTGTACATGTCTCAAAATATATTTCCGCGCGATTTCGACATGCCAAGAATGCAGAAAATGTTTTACTCTTTCAGAGAATATAAAAACTTCATGAATTTTTATGTATATATATATGCATGTCCCGTCTCTTCTTCCATTATTCTTTGTGTGAAATTTGATAGATAATCGGATTCGATTCATTCACTTGTACCCGAGGCTTATCTGATTCAAAGATCTCGAAGGCGCGATATACCGTTTTGATTTTCCAGCAAGAAATATATAATATATATATATATATATTGCTCTTTGGATTACAATTAAAATTGAACAAACAGTAAGAAAAACATTTTATCTTAAATTTTGTGCAACAGAATATAAAATCTAGAAACTTTCTTCTTTCGTTTTCTCGCAACAGCACACACTTGTTATCCGATTGACCCGATGTGAAAATAGCGCGCGAATGATGATTGTGTTTCGCGATTTATAATGATAGGAAATATTTGCGACAATAGAGCAATTCGTGACACGCGAATTGTTTATATGCTCAAGTATATGTGCCTATGTTTGTAAGTGTATGTATCTATATATATTCGAAAAATTTGATTCTGAAATCAAAGCAGAGCTCGTTAAATAATGTTTTAACATATGAAATTGATCACATTCAAGGTCAATAATAACTAGACACACCAAGTTGTTCGTGCATGATATAATTTCAAAACAATGTTCTTTTTTGAAGATCATGATGCGTCTAGTTATTACTAGCCCTAAATGACCAATTTCACATGTTAAGGCATTATATACTCATCAAATGATGACGTTAGTCATGTGGAAAAACATCGCGAAAAGGAATCGCAGAATTCGTGTGATGTATTATTATTACAGAATTCGTGTGATGTATTATTACAGAATTCGTGTGATGTGTTATAATTATTACAACTAAAACAATGTTCCCCTTTTTTTCTTACATTTCGACGCGCAGTAATGTGTAACTTTGAATCTCATCAACACAAAATTGTCTTTTCATGATCAATGTAAATGATGCGAATATTTAAAATATTATACATTTTTTCTAGTTTGAGATTTGACTAAATTATTTGCAATGATTAATTTTAAACAATCGTATAATCGTCGTATATAAAAAATCACGAGAATCAAAGATCACATTAATCATCAGGTATTATACTGATGATTAAAAATATAAATATAAATGATTTATTTTTTTTTAAATCATTTGAATAAAAAGGAACACAGATATATGAAAATATACATATAAAGATATAAAGATAATATAATATATAATCTTTATATGTTTATAGTAATGAATCGCAAAAATGTAAAAAATAGGAACAAATGCGACGCGTCTAAACATATAACGAGGAACATACATGATGTTTAAAATGTAACGCGCAAGGAACTTTATTCAAAGATCTACAAATGTCTGTATCGTGTTTTGTGTATATATATATTTTCACTTGACGTACATTGTGTGCATTGTATCGAATCACCACACGCACAAAAAACATTACTAATATATTAAATAATATTATATAAAGGTCCTAATGTTTTTTCTGTTAAAAAAGCTCTGGTTAAAAGTAGAAACATGATCGGATCAAGTGAACGTAAAGTGTTCACCTAGATATATCCCATATATAAAGTTAAAAGACACATATAATTCCTAAAACGAGAGTACGTGCTGTGCTACGTATCATAATGCGATGTATCGTAAATGTAAAACGCAAAGCATTTTGTGTTTAAAAACGCTTTTACATTCTTTTTCTTGCACTGTGGAGATTGATACTGTGTCGACTCGATTCCAAGAATACTTTACACTTATGTTACATATACCAATAATGTTGAACGTTTGGAAACGAGGTCTCTCTTACATGCTTAATTTACGTGCAAAATCTCACACTTTCCGTCAAATAATTATAATAATAAAAGATAAACTTCTAGAACGAGCCCTCAGGATAATCAGCGAGATTTGTGTGTGACGTTTGGTCAATCCCCGCATTTAAAAACATCTTGGAAAGTAATTCTGTCTAGCTTTCTCTCACTCACACACTCTCTCTTTTTCTCCGACTTATTCACTCACATCCTCGCGTACTCATTTTTTCCTCTTTCTCTCTCTCATATAACCCGAGCATATACTCCCACTGTCATACCGCGCATTCTGTCTAGCTTGCATACTGACATTTGCACAAATACGTACTTACGATATAGTTCTTACAATATTTTATATTCATTTACTCTATTAATTATATCAATACTGTTGACGGATAGAGATTCATTCACAGCTCGCATTAGAGCGGATAATCGTCTCTGATGCGTGTAGCATTTCCTTTTTTTCGCTTTCTACTTTTTGTCCAAAAGCGATCTTTCATTGTTCAGTCACATTGTATGTCCCACCTTTCATATTTAATATAATTTTTGACATAAAGTTTTTATCACACACTAAAATACTTGACCTCCTCTACTTCGGAGATCATTGTCCATCCGCACGGTATTCCGAAACGATACAATAATTCACGAGTAAACGGACTCAATTCTCTTTTATTTATCTACCGCTCCTTTCCCTCGATTTCTTCTCGTAATCTTGCCGTATCATCATGACAGACTCGAAGATACCGCGCCACTCTTCCCCCTCCCCCATCCGTCCAAAAATTAGAAAAACATTACGGGCTCGAGTAAACTGCCACCGCACGTAAGTTTGTCTTCATTCTCGATAGTCACAACATTGATTGCAGCAGCATTGCAGGTCGCTCGACAACTCGGCACGGAATTTACCTATCGATGAATCAGAGCACTTTAACACAAACGCATTTCTCGCTTACGAGTTTTATACGTCACTTTCCAATCGAATCACCTCGTTCTCGCGGGAGATGATCCATACGTTCCCCAAAATGTAATTACTTGTGACCACGCTGCGCGAGAAAATATTCAATTTGTTGTAAACAGAGCAGTTGCTGCACCAGGCTCTGCAGCGGATCCTGACCCGGTTGCAATTGACTCTGCTGTTGCTGCTGCTGTTGTCCCTGGAGTCCCTGCGGCTGCGTCAAGCCTCCACCAGTAGACTGAGCAGACGTAGGTGGCAGCATCGTGGTGCCTGGACCTGATTGCTCGGCTAGCAACTGTCGCTGCAGTTGCTGTGCCTGGTAATGAGCCATCGCCATCAACTCCGAGGACTCCATGCCCATCGAGGCGGCGGCAGCGGCGGCGGCGGCGGCGGCGGCGGCTACGTGACCCAACTGCTCCGGATGATGATGGCCCGCTGTTGATGCTGGCAGACTGGGTTGGCAGGCCAACGCCGGAAATACGCCAACATGTGACGACAACCTGCCAGCCGTGGAGCCGGCCGCAGAAGCCAGATAGGCGGCGGCAGTGGGGAGGTTAGGATTCTCGCCCCGCTAGGGAGCCACGTTCTTGGGCCTGCGCCCCCGTCGCCCCCTGGTGGGGGGGCGCGGGGACTCCTGGCCTCACTGGCTCACCGCGGGGCTCTTTTTGTCTTGCTGCTGTTGACTGGCATCCTGCGTTCCCTGTACACCCGCACCCGCACCTCCTGCTTGACCACCCTGGACTCCCTAAAACAGTACATATGCGACGTTAAAAACATGTTGCGTTTTAATATCACTATTAAGCATTTCACTATTGAGCATTATTCATTATTAAGCGGAGATCTTAATAGATTAAAATAGAGACTAAGAGAAAAATGTGTATTTGTGTGTATGTATATTAGGTGAGAGAAGTGGAGATAGTGTAAGATTAGTTTTAAGGAATTAATTGTATAAGTTAGTATAAGTTAGTGAATAAAGCAAAGCGCTGATGTATTTATGTATATTGATTGTAATCCTCTGAGGGAAATAAACTTTTTATTTTACTCTATTCTATTCTAATAGTAGAATCAGTATCTTTCTTAAATTAATTTTTCCTTAATATTTTGATAAAAACCAAGCATTTATGATATTGATTCTTTCAACAGTCTTATAAATAAATGAATTATGTTACCTGACTACCAGGACCACCCTGTGGCGGACCTGGACCGCGATCTGGCGGCCAGGAATTACCAGGTGTCGGTTCCGAATGGAACTGATGAGGATGTGGCGGTGGACCGCCGGCCGCGTCATGACTATGAGGATCTAAATTGTTCGCGGCATCGTATTGCGTGTTCTCCAGCCTTGTTATTAGTCGTTCATCCTCATCTCCAAACTCGCCACCCATCAAAGATGGTTCACCCACGACCATCACATCCTGTACCAAAATAAAAGAATCTCTAATTAATACTCCCTTCTTGAAACATCAATAATCAATCGAGGAAAGTAATCAATTAATTTACCTGCGATGCTAGAGAAAAATTTGGCCCTGGCGAACGCTTTTTGCTGGGAGCGGGTGGCGCATTGTTACCCGGTCCCGATGTACTGCCCTTTCGCTTTCTTCTTTTACTAGCCGGCCGTTGAGATTCTGGAAAAGATAAATTTATCGTGAGCACGACGCGCACTCGATCGCCACGCTTGGCCACGTGTGTAGCTACACACTGATAAACTTAAGAGCACTACCCAGCTGTGGACCTTTCTCATCATCAAAGGTCTCTGACACGCACAAGCACAAGCATGCATCGATAGACGAACAAATACATAGACACATGTCTGGTCTATTTCTTTGACGCGCTACTAAATACTTTGCACTCTCAAGCGATCTTTACAGAGAAACATGCTTAGCATGATAATACAGAGTGTCATAACTGCTTGGTTCCACGGTTTTATCAATATTTAAAAAAAATATCAAGAGGAAATAATGGGTACATCCGAATTGCATAATATTGCAAGTGAAATAGAAAACGCAATTCACGTATAAATCCGATAAAGACAGACAGACGTCCATCGCAGTACGCAACGTCAAGCAATCGAAAGTAACTGAATCATAAATATGCATATTTACAAAATAAAAAGTAAATTAACATTTCAATATAATAATAATGCTTAATTGTGATTTGAAATATTCGTAAAATTTAATTATTAAAAATAAAGCAACGTATTAGCAACCTTAAAAATCTTCAATGAGTTAATTTAATCATTGGAAGGTTCCATGCAAAATCAGCAAATCTCACACTCGATGAGAAGGAAACCGGTAGAACCAAGAATCGCGACAGAGTGGCAAAGAAAACCGACGATAACAACAGTACGTCGTTTCGCGAATGGCAAAGACCGATCTCGTTGTCTATCAGGATCGATGGTCGTTCGGCTCCACTGGCTGGTGCTTCTCATGTAAAGCAACTGTTCGTCTACCTCTCTTACCCGGCGGGGCAACTATCCTCTGCCATTTCTGGAACAAGGTTGTCTTCAAGCAATCACGAGGTGACAACGCATATGCCTTGTGCCTCGACATCAGTTCCTGCATCGGCTCCAGAATCACGCATAACTGTAACAGAATCGTTATATGTATTCAAATCAACCATAATAAAAAAATCGCGCTATCTTTCGTTTTTTTAACTTTGAGAATGTATATAAAATTTCTCTATACTTTTGAGTCGAATTTGGGGCATTGCAAATAATTTATCAAATAATATATGCGATGTTATAATTTGATACAATATTTAATATACAATGAAGTGAATCTTTTACATTTAGATATCTCTTTTAAGTTTAAATATATGAACAATATTCTAAAAAATTCTAAAATATTTCTAAAATATATATATAAAATATTATACATTATTATTATTAATGTATATAAAATAAATAAAATTATTTTTTTATGTTTTCAACCTCAAATAAGACATAAATGATTTGTTTCTTGTGACTCATCTTGTACATACTCATTACTCTAAATGTTAATATTTTAAATAGAAAAAAATCGATCAAATAAACTTTTCAGTAAAATTAAAATCAAACATTTCTAATTTCTTTATATTTTATATGCATTAATATCTTTATATCGTGTACATTATATCGTGTACAACAATTAAACTTAGCAACTTGAAGAATAACTGAAATTTCGCGCGACACCTTCCGACATTTCCTTTACAAATCAACTCTGTCATTGATTTTTCATCCATAAAAAAAATTATTCGAAAAGTGGTTACGCTCTAAACATCGTGTACTAATTTAACAATGAGTAAAAACGTTCTTGTGATCGACGTAACACTCGATGAGCTTTTCAACGTAGGTTCGAAATGCACTTGCAATACCTGGAGATACCCGGAAATAATATTTTCGAAAAAGTAATTATTCCGATCTAATCTTGGATTGACACACCTTGCTGCTATTATCTAGCTATGTCCCTGATTATTATGCATATTTATTCATTTTAAATTAACGCTTATTCATGAACACATGTTAAGGTGTATGTGTAAAAATTAAAAATAATCATTATTTTTCTTTACTTTGAATTTTGCAGGGCAAAAATCTATTTCAGAAGTTCTCCCCTTCATTCATTTGCGTCAAAATTATTGAAAAACCTCTTTAATTTATATTTATTCTATTCGTTTGTAATTTTTAAAAAATTCGATCGTTTCCTATTTCGCGTAAAAATATTTAATATATAAATTTTCAATTCTTTAATTTTAACGCAATCAATTTGGGAACATTAATGTAATTAAGATGACACTTGCACAAAAGATACATACTCTAAGGTAATTGAGGGTGAAGTTGGACATGCCCTGCCTAGTGATGTTTTTGCTGATCTGCTCGAGCATCGTCGGATCCTGTTGCATACTGACAACAGATCTCGGCACCAGTTCTCGATGCGTTCTCACCGACATGTGCCACGACTTTATCCTCATGAGGTCGTCAAAGGTGAATTCCAATATTAACCTACCCTCCGTTAATACCTAAAATCAGAAATTCGAATAACAAAATCTGTCTTGGCTTGCTATTTCAAGAGTATTCGATTTCGCGCGTCACTGTCGAGGAAGGAAGAAAGAGAAGAAGAGAATTCGTAGAACTTGAGCTAGGAAACAGTTTTGCAGAAACTACGGAAATCCAATTAAACTTTAATCTCTTTAATCTCTATATTTTTCTTGCTTTAAAACAAGAGAACGATTAATTTTTCTAATTATGCCAAATTAAAACAAGATGCATGTTTTTATAGCGATCTAATATATATCTCTCCGTCAGAAATATATAAATTACATTTGGAGAAGAAAGGACGAAAGAAATAGATTGAGAGAGTAAGGCTAACGTTTGCGGTCAAAAACGATACGAGATATTCAATTTATACATTTTTGTACGAACATGTCGAGTGTCAAAACCGAGATTACTTCGCAGTCTCGCTAATAAGATATTCGTCTCGGTCAGAAATAAGCACATTTCTTAGATATATTTATAAATATAGCTTTTAGATCTAGATATTTCTAGAAAATATTTGAATTTAATGTCTGTGCGATAAATAAAAGATTTAGGTACATTATATTATACACGTTATAACAATATTATATTATACATTATAATAGATATATTCTAACAAATTTATTTATTATATAAATTCTGTTGTGGAATTGTTCGTACCTTAGTGTACATCGGTTTCCCGTATTGCGTGACCATCGTGCACTGTTCACAGTCCAGGGTTATACTGGTGTTATGAAACGACTCTTTCTGATTCTTCAAAGTATAGTAAAGTTCTGTAACACCGCCATCGAATATCGAGCGGAAATACCTAGGTATTAACGTCCTTCCTATCGCTGAAAGAATAAAAATAGAAACAATTAGAAATAAATGCAAGAAACGCGTTGCGGGAGAAAAAGGGAAAGAGACGAAGCGATTATTAAGATGGACAGCTCTATCTTAGATCGATCGATGCATTGTTCCGTGTTAGATACAAAATTTCTTTCAAATACGGCACATAGATATATATTGCATTTTGAAAAGTTGCTTATAAATGTTTTAAATAAAAATAAAAAAATTTTACGTCTTTAAGTCCCAAATCTTGATTTTGTAATCCATCGCGAAAAATGGGCAAAGATGCATAAATAAGACACAAGAAATAATATATATGTATGTATAAATGTGTAAATTGTTATATAACAATAGTGAAGAAAATAGAAAGAACATTTCTTCTTCTTTTTAATTGCAAAATAATGCATCTTGCGTTATCGCAACTCGTCTTACGGCAAACTTGTCGTTTATATCCGGGCGACAACGACATGCATCCGCAAGACATGTAATCACGTTGTCGCCGTATATTATCGCGACGGTGTGTGTGAGAAGTGACATTAAAATCCACCAACTGCAAAATTGCCGCACAGTGGCACGTCATTATTTAGAACACAGGCAGTATCGTACGAGCTTACCAACGATTAAGCATCAATAACAACGGATCGTGATGTCAAAATGTAAAAAATTAAATGCTGGCACAAAAATCGATTGTATTTAATGAAAGTCGGGAAAACTCTATTCTAGAATGTCATGTTGCTTTTCAAGACATTTTCCTCGTAACTCAATTTTTTCCATGCGTGCTTCTCTATCAATTTTATAAAATAGAGATGTCTTACTTTTACTGCATCTTTTTCCAATTAATTAGATATAACGAAGGAAAAAGTGATTGATTGATAATTATTAATTTTATTGTGAATTTTCAAAAGTTTCTTCACCCAGTGAAACATGCAAATCTGCTCGAGTAATCAATGATACTTACAATATCTCTTCGGTCCGTCTTCCAAGCAGACGTGAAGGGTAAGGGTGGCGTCCTCCTCGAAAAACTCGTTCGCGAAGGCCTCCCACCAAAGGTTGTCACTTTCCTAAATAAAACAGAGAAAAATACAGAAAGAATTAGCTTGCGTGATATCATGTGAAAAAAAAATTGTTCTCGGCGCATATATTGTCGCATCGATGATTATTTTATTTTACGAATTGCAAATTGGAAACAATCGACGAAAGAGGAGTTAGCCAGAGGACAAAAATACAACGAGATGAAAAGGAGAAGAGAGAATGAAGAGGTGACACCTTCCTCCTCTTCCCCCAAAGATGCGCACGAAGGGCGCAGAAAAGGCTGAGGAGAGAGAGAGAGAGAAAGAGCCTGTACCTCGACGCTGAATAACGCATGACTGTCTGGCTTGAAATTATAGCATTCCGCCCCCTCTCAGTCGTAGGAACTACCCCTTGGCTCTGCTGTTCACCACGCTTTCATTCAATTATGCATCTCCACCTCCACTATCCTCCTAGCGCCCTTCCACCAAGTAGTCCACCTATCCCCGCGGGCACTCCTCTTATTATTATTTTCCCACATGCAGCTCGGTCGCTCGACGGTTTTTCTCGCGCACGAAAAATCGCTGTCGTCGATGATTTCGATAACGATCCCTATTTGAAAAGCCATAGATATCATGAATCGATCCAAGATTCTTCATTTGCCATTTTAAGAATGCGTTTAATTCTTTAAGGCGTAATCTTTATCTGTTAGATTTGATATAAATTTAATATAGAATAATACAATTTTTTTTACACTCATTGTGTATATACGCAATATAATCTGATAATATTTATAATTAAATGGAATTTTTAAATATTTCTATGTCCAAATAAATTTTCTTTAGCGATATTATTCTACAAGATAATTTGCAATAAATATGCAATAGATCGAAATGCATGTATTTGTTTCATTTTTTCGATAAAATATTTAAAAAACTAAGTAATTAAAAATGCCTCATTATCTTTGATATAATTAAAATAAAAAACTTTAAGATATAATGTTAGATTGTAGTTTATAATATAATTATTTTAATATAAAATTATATTTATTTTATATTTTTCTTAAATATTAAAGAAACAATGTTACGAGCGACAGAAAAGTTTTCAAATAAACGCAACATTCGATAGTATGCAAAATGTATTCCGAAATATTAATACACTCCGATGGGTTGTTTTCTGAGCACATTTACTTTCGTGAGCAACGCTTACAAAACGCTCATTATCGGAACAATAATTATCATGTTTGTCACTGTAATTTATTATGTGTTTCCACTATTGCGCTTGTCAACAGGCACCTTTTAATTTTGTGCATCGGAAAGTAAACTCAACTTTAACATAATGGCAGGAACGCCCTATATGTGACATCGGTGCATTTAAAGAGAAGAATGAAATAGGAATGAATAATGCTTTTCCTCGCGCATTGAAACACGTGTTTCTGATCGATCAGAAATAAATACATAAGATGCGAATCGATTTGTGCGAGAATGAGATATCGTTCGCGAAACCGGGACGAGTACACTAATCGTGTCAAATCCGCATAGACAATCGGTTTCCGGTGCGGGCATCGACACTGCATTCGCGAAGATTTATTTCGGACGTAAGCTGTACCATGCCAAATCAAGCAAACTGTTACCACTCCCGCGCAAATTGATATTTCTGGCAAGCGCGCCTCGGCCCGGATGGAGGAACCTCGAGATAGAGTAGAAGGCGAAACAGTGACACGATAAGTGTAACTGAACGAGCAAGAAGACGTTGCTCGACAAATAGGTGATATTCAATAATGTGAGGCTGAGAGAGAAAAATATTTCTCTCCAAGAACTGTAGCTAGATTGCTACAAGTTCGGGAAATCATTCGACTGAGACGATGAGAAATCAGCATTTACGCAATATGTAATATGTGTTTTGTCATACGTTTAATGTAAATGTCACGTATTTCGATTCATGTTTAATACGTATAATCTGTTCCGACATGTAATATATGTTTAGATAAAGTGTGACAATTAATTTTCGAATTTATATTTATTATTTATATTATATATTTTTTCAACATTCATATTGCTTATAATAAATATGACAATATATATATATATATATTTCCAATAACGTGTACAATGATTACTCTCGAATTTCTCTCGAATTAATCTCAAGCTTGTCTCGAGTGAAAAATAGTCACAAAAGTCACATAATCAACACCCTTCAATTAGTTTCACAATTTTAAAAACTATATATTGTACGAATATTGTAAAAACTTAATATCTACCATATTTTAATTAATTGCTCGTTAATTATTCCAATAACATTTTTAATTTTTTTAAGTAGTATCAATATGTTTTTTTCAAAAACATTATATTATCAAATATTCGCAGATTGATAATCAAAACCCAATAGAGTAAAATGTACTAAAAAAAAATAAAGATATAATTCATATTTAGTCAAGATTTCTGGCATATTTCTACAAATATGCAAAAAAAATTCTAACATTTAATATTTTATAGTAATTAATTAATAATTTTTATATTTTAATAATTTTTACTGATTCTTTTATATGTTATTTATTAAACTTTTTAATATACTCTGCGAATATGTATAAAGAATGTCATATATGATATTTCGTAAAATCTCTTGTTTTAAAAAAATAATATTAACATATTGACTGACGGGTACAAATCGGATACAATCACCATCGTTTCAATAATATGATGTGACGACTAGATGTTTTTAATTCACGCTAATATTAAAGATATTTTATTTGCTTTAACATAGCCTGCACATAATCTAACATACATGTTTTAAGAATAAAAATATAATAAATTTTGACAGCATCTTATAATTATTTATGTTTTCTATTTATTTACTTAAAAAATTGCAAACTAAATGAATTAATAATAGTTTTGCATGCTAAATTGCTTTAATTTCATTCCAATTTGTATTTTAATGACGTTTTTTTAACTTACAACGCGTTCCTCAGATATTAGTTAATAAATAGAATCTATAAGTGAATAATGTATCTAGGAAATAATACCGTGTTCGATCTGTATTTTGGCCATTCTATTCCATTCTACATATTCGATCCGATAATTCTCTCGCCTTGAACAAAACCGTCCCTCCGACAGTGCGCAAGAAATTCGCACTCGCATCATCCTCGCTGCAGACTGTCGAAATTCAATATTATTCCCACAAAATAAAAATTGATTCTCTCCGCCATAAACTATGTATATATCACGCGAATGACAAGGAAATAACAAAAAGCGACATTCATATATATACGTGTACTTTCAATTCGCCCAAGTTAATAACAGCGAAAATTGCGATGCAACGGAAAGTATGAAAAGTATAGAACTCGAACTCCACCCTGACAAAAACGCTCGACAAAAAATACTACAATGCACGTTATTAATATTAAGAGCATTATTAACAAATTGCATAAAATTTGACGCCGTACTTTGCGTTTAATGCGCACAACCTCTCCTCTAATTTATTTGCAAAGATTGGAAATTTGAGAGAGAAAGAGGACGAGAATATAATTATATACAACGCCTTTGTATTTTCATTAAAATAAACTCTGATATTGTAGCGCACCACGGCGTCTATAATATCGCGTTCAAAGAGATCGACACACATCCCAGAAGGCGAGTAAGGACGAGCAAGGAGAAGAGCGCGGACGCGCAAATCGCGGCGTGATTTTCACGCGCATTTTTTGGCGTCCGTATTAGCGGTAGAGTTAAATGTAATTTGTCCAGGGCCGAAAAGGGCGCGGAGTCGACAAAAAAGAGGCGAAAGTCGTCCACGGTCGAGTTGAATCGCCCCGGATGCGTCGTAATAACCCGGTGGTGGCGCGACGCCGCGTTTCGACCCGGCTCGGTCGCCGAAAAAATGTCCGGCATCGAGTCGTCCCGAATTCCAGTCCGATTCCGACATACCGGACGCGCGACGAGAAAGAATCCGATGTAATTCCACCGTGTTACCAGGTAGCACGGCATTGCGTTACTCCGAGAACGCGAGGAGGCGACGACGACGGTGACGACGGCGACGGCGACGGCGACGACGACGACGACGACGACGACGACGACGACCACGACGACGACGACGACGACCACGACGACCACGACGACGATGACGACGACGACGACGACGACGGCGGCGGCGGCGGCAGCGACGGTGGTGGCGGCAGCGTCTCGACGTCGACGCCGTATTTTAAACCCGCCGCCGGCGCTCGCGACGAATAAATTTCTTTTCATCGATTCGGCCGCGTCGACCGTTCTCGAGACTGCCCGCGACCGATGCGTTCCTTGCCCCCCTCTGTCCCCGGGTGACTCCCAAAATTCTCGCCCTTGTCCCCGAATTCTCGGCTGTACACTCTCGTGCGACTAAGTACGGTTACACTTATGGCTATTTTATTTAGATTCCCTCGTCTTATATTGATATTAAAACTCTCCCGTCCTCTAGTCAGATCGATAAAGTTCGAAATCAGATTGCATTTAGCGCTGAATACGCGGAGAGAAAAATCTCGATCTGTCTCTCGCAAGAAGACGTTAGTCCTCGCTATAATTTTTCTCCGAGAATTGAAACTAATAGTTATAATTTAGATCGAGTTTGTGAATCTTTTATATCTGAAAAAAATGTGTTTTATATTAATCAGACGTAAAGCGTGTTGTAGGAAAATTAATTACTCTAGAGATTTATAAAAAAAAAAGGGAAAAAATTGACAACACACAACTGATTCGCCGATTTATAAAACTAAAACGCTCGAAACTATACTCGATTTAATTTAGCGCAAAGAATGATTTGGCGAATGAATTTTTGTATATTGCCGTTTCCATAGTCTCCGCGGATGAACGCTGAGAATATTCTCACGTGTCGGCTATATTCGAACACGGCGGAATTATATCAGCTCGAAATCCTAATTTTTTCAATCCATTCCTCGCGAACTCGACCGATGAAATCCGTCCCTTTTTCATCCTATCCGTCCATTCTTCACTTTTGTGATTTTTCGCGCGTCCCGACTGGCAGCGCGGACTATACGCCGGGGTTGCTGTCGGTTCTTCGTCGGGAC